AGGTCCCTTCCGACCCTAGAAACTATGAAACTATCTTCCCCCCCATATCAGAGTACTTGCAATACACATTTTTACACATCAACACACTTATACGTCCATCATCAAATGGAAATATCCACAAACTAGCTAGTGGCTCATCAGTACATACAATCTCATGCATAGCACACCCTGTTGCCAAGATGGCTCACAGCTAGCAGGCAATTTTAAGCAACCTTACGCTTTCTCTTCTGTTCTCCCAAATGTGTGAGGCCATGGATGAGATAACTGGATTTGTCCCTTTGGTTATAAAAATTTCTTTTTTTTAGGAGGAAGGGAAACAGGAATATTTATATGGAAGGTCTTGATGGCCTATTTCTTAAATCCAGGGAAGAAATAACATGGTTATTTATGCAATCTCTAATACAGATTTTAAGTCACCATCAGAAAGCCTTCAATTACATAACAGCAAAAATCACAGCAAATTTAAATGAGTTCAGGTTTCATTTTGGCCCTGCTAGGATCTGTACTAAACAAGTACAATCCCTTGAAAAAGCTTATATGAGCATGCAGATTAATAATCTGTCACAATTCAAGAACAATCTCTAAATTGGAAGCTTTTAAAAAATGAACTTCAATTAAAATGAAAAAAAGTTATAAACATTACAAAAAGAGAAAAGAAATATAATACATAAATGATAGAATTATTAAAATTAATTGCTGAAGCCAAAAAGATTGTATTTCAGTACATACAAATCTGAATGCACTAATTGCATATAAAGCCAGTAAGGATTAGCAATGAGTTCAGGCTTTCTTGATTGCTTAGGTAACAGTTTTTAAAAAAAAAAGGAAATAAATTACATTCTAAAAGCAACTTACCTGTGACGTCAGTTTGGATGTCAGCAAGCTTAAAGAGAGGTGCAACTTGTTCATAATAAACACGAGGAGCTTCTCTTTCATGGCTGTTTGGGTTAACAAACACTTTCAGGGATTTGGGTCTGTTCTGAAAGCCTAAAAGAATAATACACACAAAGTGTTTAAATGCATTGCTAGTTCTATAGCTTGAATAATACTTTTAAGCAAACATTCTTGGGTATATTAGGAAAACTTTACTTCATCGAACCTTATTAGTAAAAGCAAATGTTTGATTGCAAGATTAATAAATTATGTTCTCTTCTTGAATAAATGCTATCATAATCTGACACTAATATTGAGGTTGTTGACAAGCTGACCTGCTTACATGTTTACATCTAAGAATAATCAGTAAGAATGAGTGAGTCAGTTCACATTATGAGACAGCGCTCCAAAAAAAGAAACAGGGTTGAAGGGAAGGTAGAGATGCATAAGACAGACCAATATTATCTCTTGGGAATTTGACAGAAAATACTTCTCCACAGGGATTGGTGCTATGATTTGCTACTTTTACTTTCTGGATTTATAGACTATATAATAAATTACAACGCACAGCAAAAGCAGGGGGTGGGGGGGGGTGGGAATTAGAAAGGAGGGGGAAATGAAATAAAAACACAAAAATAAATTAAGCTTGGCCAATGTTATACAAACTATTACAATTAGTATTTTTAAAAGCATACTAATTTCAATTAAATCTGCTTACATTCTAATTAAGCTTACAGCAAGAAAAATGCTTTCTAAAGAAGAAAGGCAGAAAAATGCTGGAAAATACTTAATTCTTTGTTGTTCATCAAAGCATGGTTCATGTACCAGTGTTAATTAAACTGTATACAAAGGCCTGGAGCTCTTAACCCCTGGATTGTCCACAGAATATCAGAAACTAGTTTAAGCACACTTTAGGCAACTTAAAGTTTTGCCACTCTAGGACATGTTTATTTCTGATCCATATTATCCAGCTGATTTTCCATTCATGGGTGACCACTCCCCACAGATGAGCCACCAAGCTGCACTCCTCCAGCATCCTATGATGCAGTGTCTCCTGTTCTGCGGACAAACTTTCCACCCCCTGAATTCTACTGCCCAGGGGAAGGTTTGGCACCAAGCCACTCCCCCTCTTAACCCTGGAGGGTGTGACCTTCACATCCCCAAGAACATAACCCCCATGCAAACAGCCTAAAGAGCACATGACAGCTAGCCAGGTCACGGATGGGTCCAGGAATAGGGTCTAGGTGAAGTGGGGAGAAACAAGGGCTGGGTCCCCATGGGCTGGGGCTTCTTTTCTGGGACAAAGGCAGTAGCTCCTGCAAAAACAACTTCCCTTACTGTTCCCACCTCCCAGTCATCCTGGGAAGCACAACCAGCATTCCCCACACCCTAATCCTAAATCCCAATTTATTAAAATGTTAGCCCTTCTTTAATTTACTTCCTC